CCACGGTCAGCGGCCCACAACAAATCTGTTCAAGCAGGCACCGGCTTAAACGATCATGACTCCAAAGCAGTTTCATGACTCTTCAGTTTCAATCTGCTGTCTCGAATAAATTATATGAATACTTTTATTAGAGCTCCTGCGCAAACCTGTGCATTATTTACTCATCGGCACCAAAATTAAGCCCTTGGTGTGCACCTTTGCGCTGATGTCTTCACGCTCTTTTCTGCATATTTATTGTCGGTTTTTAAGAGTGATAAATGCAGTGTAGCAAACCGTTTTGGTTTGCTACACTGCAATTTATCACTCTTTTCTCTAAACTGTAAAGTATTTCTCGTTCTTGTTAACGCGCCGTGTGTCTCCTGTGTTGAATCAGTATATCGCTGACAAAAAACCGAGCACCGACAAGCAAAAAGCACGCACTAATTCCGGCATTTAGAATCCGACATCAAATATCCCATTTCCTTATGTTTGCACTAGAAATAGTAGTTGTCCGTGTGTGACTAAGACAATGATAGCTTTTTTTTTACTTTTTTACTTGGAACATTTCTCTGTAGGTCATGTACACCAACGTTGTTGTATATTTTCATTTTTGTTTCAATGGGCAATCGACGTTGACTATGATCGCGTTTCAACATCATGGGAAAGCCAGCATGGGAAAAACATGGCTACTGATATACAATCCAGGTCGCCTACTTAAGAGCGCTATAAGGTACTACCTAACCAGTTGTGTAATAATAGCCATTTACCGAATGTGCATAATCATTAATAATTTTTGTATGTCCTCACTCAGATGGGCTAACATCCCAACATATGTTCGGAAAATGATCAACCACTTTGCATGTTCTGGTTGGAAACTCGTTTTGCGTTTTGGGTAACGAAGACGATTGCTAATTACCTGCGCGAAATATCCATCCAAATATGCGATTGGTAAGCCATAGCCACTCGTGACTTATAAAAATCACTATGCGTCGTAATGCGATGGTTATAAGGTTACCCGTAAGCGATTATATACCACCTTCATATGCTATTGTTGAGCCAGAGCTGTTCGTGACCTTTAGAAACCTTTACTGTATACCCGTATGTAGTAATGCATTAACCAGCAGTGGTTCAGATATGTGTAAGCAGAGCAGATTGGACAGAACCCAACATTCTGGTTGGACAGAACGCGGACCGTGCGTTGGTTGCCGTGGTATACGTCAATACGATACGCTGCGATTGGCTAAATCTTTTTGTGGACTCAGACAGAACTCTCTCACACCTGGTGGTCAGCAGTGAACGCACTTGCTGTCTGAAATTCCTTGCTGACCGCCAGGTATGCGAAGAAGTTCAGCGAATGATTCGTCATTAATGAGAAATCCCTTTGTATAACAGCCGCGATGGTCGGTGTAAGTGGAACCGGCAGCCCAAAGTTGTGGACAGCTCTATTCCGCTGACTAGCAGGCTGGGAGTTTGCGTGGCCACGTAGACGCCGACGGCGCCTAACAGCAGAATATGGTGGGTGATGATGTGCTTGTTGCGGGAATGATGGGAATGCAGAAGAGCTTGTGTGGCGCGGAATTCCCTGCAAATGTCGCAAATAAGGATGCTTAACAGTAGCAATAGGCGGAATTCCCCAAACGAGTCACTAATTACTTAACGGAGGCGTGCTTGATGACTGCATGGATACGTGTCCGTGGTAAAAGTATTACCAAGAAATTCTAATAACGTTTAACCACTACGTATAAAATGCTATAAATTTTTGTTTTCCGTAAAAGGAGGAAAGGAAATTGGGTGCAAATCCGGTTAATCCACTATGAAAACCTAATGCACGATAAATCGTTATAATTATCTTTTCAGTCATGAGTTCTATTTTGTCCCGCAAAGTTATGAGTCTTTGTAACGGTAACATTTTTATTCGTGCTGTCACCGAAGTAACCGTATTGTGTGTATTTATGTGTCGCGTTGCATCGTCCTTCATGGCAACAACTATCACGATCAGTGTTAGAAGAGAAGTTACTTCTCTTCTAGTGTTCTGTCCCACCAGAAATTGCCATGCATACGTGAAGGTCACGGCATCAAAGCATTCTTCCTCATTTCCGTCTGTCCTTCTGAATAATATGTATAATGATTACACTTTCATGAGAGTATCTCTGTGTAATATTTACGCATGGCATAAATTAGAATACATTGCGCTGGTGTTGCCACACTATGATCTGCCTTCCTAAAGTTGGTGGTTCACAGCGACAGATTATTACGCGTGTTTACACTAAAGTTGTAAGTACAATTAGTGCATTATGGAACAACTTGTACTTGGTGGTGGGGCCTAAATTGTGTGACTTGTTCTACCGGTAACTGCGTATGCATGCTAACAAAAGTGCACAAAACTACATATTATAGTGTAGCGTAGTATTGTGCCACGAGATTGTTGTGTCCTTTGTATCCTGCGTGTCCACCTTCCAGCGTGGCAACTGTGACAGCAATATGCCAGTGTCGTCATTTTGTAATGTTTAGTTGGTTTTGTGCGCCCTCAGTGGCGGCCCGGTCCGCCACTGGCGGCTGATATAATTATATTAAAGGTATTACCGCCACCTCAAGTCGTGATTATGGTGCAATTGCACAAAGTAATGACTGTCAAAGCGTTTCTCTAAAGGTATTCTCCGTTTTTGCTAACATGCAGTGTCAACTAGTGTTCATCAAATAGTGTATTGTCGTGTATAAGCGTTCACGCCGGTTAAGGCTCCATGAACAATCTTTACTCTTCCACGCCTGTAATGCTCAATCGGTAGGCACTCGTACTCTCAAACTGTAACAGAAGAACTATGGTGGAGAAATGACGAACGATTCAGGAACACGAGAAGATCAGGAATCCCTCAGGAACGAGCTAACCACAACTTCCGGTCGTAAGTCCTGTGAGGATCGGCAAGAGCTAGGACGATTGTGTCACGAGCAAACCTGTATACTAAGCGATAATCCGGGAACAACTATGCACTTCAGTAGGAACAAGTATTGCTGTCTCTTTATCCAATTCACATCACAGTTTACAACGCTAGGAAATCGTAATTAGAAAGCAGTCTCAGAAGTAAATCTCAGACTACTGATTCCGATATTAGGCATCACAAGAACTTATATAGACTTGCGTTATGACATCATATACATCGCTAGTAAAAGAGAACAGCAAATCACAGCATTGATTGACTAGATTATCCGTTGTGTTGCAGGTGGAAGGCGGACAGTCAGCATCCGTACGTACATCCGGCGTATGATCCTACTCCCATACGTCACCCCCACGAACGATGCTAGGCCGTGCCAAAATAAACAATCCATCCCGCAACATCCCAGTGCGATTGTGCACTTCCGGCCATCCTGATCCCGATCCACCGCACAATCCACGCGTCCATCCGATGCCCAATGTGACTGTACGCCGCGATTCCCAGAGAGTTAGTGTGGAATCCTTGGCGGAGAGTCATCCGGAAGTCCACGGGTTTGGCAGGGCGGAGGTCCAAGGATCCAGGAAGGCGAACTATGAATTACTGACATTGTGCCGCTTGAGTTTAGATGGTGTTTTAGTATGTACAACATACGGCATCAAGCTTTATTGGCTGTGATATAAACGCTTAAGGTTGAATATGGCTTGTGGTTGATCGAACTATTATGTATTGGACGTACGAGCGAAATGAAACGGAACAATGAATCATCCGACTGGTATTCTTACGAATTCTCGAATCCAGATTGCACCACAATAACAAGGTCAACAACAACAAACAAGCTAGACAAAATCATATAAGGATCAGTACAGATTACTGGTACACAGAAACAAATTTAAACCAGTAAAGAAGCAGCAGTAAAATCAAGAAGGCAAAACAGCTTCGGTACAACAAAGCGAGTAACAATATGAGATCAAGGAAAGCAACCAAGGTCAATGTCAGAGGTGAGTCAAGGTTACTTGCCAGCACTGGGAGCCAACGAAAAGAGACCAGTGATACCAGAGCCAGATGCAGCAGCGGCATCCAAACGGCGAGAAACTTCCGCAGCCATCTGTCGTCGGCGATCGGCATCCAATTCCCGCTGCTGTTGCTGAGCCAAATAACCAGGCACAAAATTATGCTCAGCTGATCCAACAGGGCCAGAAGGCGCAGACGGCGCACGTGGGCGGTCAGCCGGAGAACGGTCGCGGGCATCGCGGACAATCGGCACTTCAGGAAGCGGCAGCACATTCGGTGGCAAACCGGGAAATTCAGCGTTCTGCGGGGCTTGCTGCTGCACAGGTGGAATGACAGCCGGAGGAACGACAACGGCATTCAAGGCTAGTGGGCCATGTAGATTGACAGCAGGGTTGACACCATTGGGCTCACCTGCAGCCACATTTCCATTGCCTTGGACCGGATTCGGTGCATTCGCTGCTTGGTTGCCCGGGTCGTCAACCTCCATGTTTGCGGCGGCAGCTTCCACTGGAGCAACTGGGTGATCGACTCCATCAGGTACTTCAATAACTTCCGGTGCGCCCAGAGGTCGGCCATTACGACGCCAATGATCGTTTCCACGACGCAAGTTATTGTCTCCAAAATTCCTATGATTTCCTCGGCCGTACGGACGAAAGTTGCCACGGTAAGCACCACGGGCTCCACCCCTTCCTCGGTGATTATAACCGGCATTATACTGTTGCTGCTGATTGGAAGACGAATGAAAAATGGCGTCTACCAATTTATCGAAAGCACGGTTAGGATCAATAGGCGGCATGCCCAAACTAAAGAAAACTAGTGACCTTTAACGCTATAAGTGCAAAGAGAAAAGCGTCAAAATTACAGTCTATACGCACTGGAAATCCAACGTGCCAGAAGGCCGAAGCGAAAAATCCACAATGCCGATTTCTGCACACTACGCGCAGACGATTTTATACCTGTCTGCGGGAGCGAAATTTTAAACTGCGGCAGATTCCACACCGGTAAGAGAAACAACCAATCAGCGCTTCGCGCTATATCCTTTTAATGCAACGTAATCGGAAGATCAGATCTAATCCAGGTACAACGAAAGATTGATCATTGATAGCTACAGCGCGGATAGAAAATACCAAACGACCAGTTCATTGACTCAGAGCGCGTAAAATTGAAAAATAAAAATTGGATGAAAATAAACGCAAAATGCCTTAAATTGTACAATGAAGGCTACCGATCAAAAACAAATCACAAAGTTTGGCCAGCTAATATGCAAATTAAGATCAAAAACGAAATGACAGATCATCAAATTCTGGCAAAAATGTACGGCATGAAGGATAACAAATCAGTAATGGAAAATTCACAATTCATCAGAATGCGGCTGCTGTTGAATATAGCCTGCCGGTTCTGCAAACTCAGGTGAGTCCTCGCGGGCAACTACGGCAAGTTGGCAACAGGTGGGACAGCTGGAACAGCCGGCTGCAGAGACGGCAACGGATCTACATCCATCTTCTCAAAATCAGATCCATCGTCATCATCACAATCGACCACCTTATCTGCATTCCCGTCAGCTTCGACATCAGCATTCTGCTCAGGGGATAACACAGCCGAAGGATCCTCACGATCTTCACCATCATCCGAAACGGAAACTTCACTTGGCGCAGAAGACGAGGACGGCGAGACCTCCCTGTACTTGCGCTTTTGCCCACGAGTACGAAAATAATACGGTCCAGCAGAAGTGGATGGCTGCGGTTCAGCATTTTCCACAGCACCCGCATCAGCAACCGCTTGACGCGCAACTGCATCCGCCTTCTGACGCTTGGCGATTTCTTTAAACAATCCAACAAAAACAGGATGTAAGTATAGATATTGGCGACGCAGCTCTAATGCAATTAACGAAGGTAATTTCCGAGTAGCCAGACACAAATCATAACGATTGATTAATACTCCATTCTGGTATAAGAAGCGAGACAGATACAATTCCGGAAAGCGAGGATGAAAACGATTTAAACCGGAAAAATAGGCTTTTGTAATTGCCATCTCACCCTGCTTATCCGCAATAGCCATTCTTGGAAACACTCCGGAATGCGCTCGTTTGCGAGCTGTCTGCTTGGTCTTGAAGACCGGCCGCGGTGCATCCGGGTTATACGGCACATAAAGAATTCCGCCTTTGCGCAAATGTTCCTCGTCTAAACACAGTTGAAACAACAATGAGCGCAAGCAAAGCTTAACCATGATCAACTGCAAAACTGGCAGAGGAAGCAATAAAACAGAAGCGAAGCGACATGATAACGATTGTCGTATCTCATGAGGGTAGTAACGCGAAACGACTGCACAAGAAACGAAAAACACCAGAGGTAGAATTCAGACTTGTGAAAAACCACAACATTACAGTAAAACAACGGCAACCACGGCAATACCTCGCTTTGCTTTTACAGACGGAGTCTCGGAAGACGATGGCTCTTCTTCAGTCAGGTCTGGAGTACCCAACTGTCTTTCCGCCTGCGTCTGCAATTTCTTTGGTGACGGCTGACGAATCTCAACGTCAGGACTGGTAGGGAATGATCCCCGACGGGCACGGCGGCGAACCACAGCAGCATTGCGTCGCAAAATCGTTCGTCGCCGTTGCTTATCATATCGGCGCTGTAAAGCATCGACTATCGCATCTGCCCGACTGGCTGAAGGCTGTTGATTCACTGTTGCACTTACATTTCCCGACGGTCCTGGGGATTGCGCGGCAAATACTGGTTGAGCAGCAGTACGGCGGGAAACTCGAGATCGAGTGACACGCGATGAAGAACGAGCTTCATCGCTGTCCGGAGAATAACCAAAACTCAAACCCGCTGTTGCTCGACTCGGGCGCGGTGTACGGGATGCAGTCTTGCGTGCGGTTGGCTTCTTAGCTGGAGGCGACATTCCCAAATCGTAAAAGTGACAAATTAATCGTAAAAAGATAGGAAAACAAAACAAGCGAATACCAGCTGTTGCAGAAAAATGGAAGGACTGGAGTGCAGAGAAAAAGCACAACAGATAATCTGCACTGGCACCGACACCGAAAACTCAAAATTCACGAAGTATACCATGAGGCGGTTGACAGGCGACAAGTGGATTTTTGCGAATTTTGAAGCCACTATGATCTTTTGGCGTAGAACACACAGGAAACCAATTAATTCTCCGAGGATTTGTAAATTTCCACCACAAAACCAAATTTTAATATAACATACAAATTATGACGATTAAAGGGATACGAAAGAGGAAAGCCAAAATGAAAACACGCGGCTGGGAAATATTCGGAGCACAGACCGGAAACTGCACAGTTTCCGAGCACACTGTCAAGTCAAGGCGGTTGACAGGCGACAAAATACCGGTACATTGCACGAGAAATATCAGCTGTTCTTCACTAATGGAAAAGTGAGGAACCCAACAATATCTATCCTTTTACGGTGACGGTTTTTCTGTTTCATTTTATTACTAGCACATTTTATTTCTGTTCGCCACATTTTATCTTAATCATTCCTAATCATCCGAGCATCATGTCAGCGCAGCCTGTAGGACCAGCTGGAGAGCCGTTACCTTCGCCCGAAACGGATGCGATTGCCCACTATGAATACTGGAAGGGACGAACCCGCGAATCAGTTCAGTTTGCCATGGCAGAGCCTCTACAGCCAAACGAAACCATCCGAAGCCGTCGACAATTGGCGATGCATACGGCAGCCCACGCGTGCATTCTTGAGGCTGACATTACGGGATATTATGTGGACATGTCATCTATCAAGAAATTCGTTGTGGAAATGCATGATGATTTCACGGAAGAACGAGTGGATTTCTTCCTTGGCGACGCTATAAATGCTGGAATCTTGCTCAAGAAGATGAGCCGCGATGGACGTTTCGTGCTCGAAGTGGCCGAGGAAGTGAAAAATAACCGCGATCCAGAGACGAAGGTAATCGACACAACTAGCAAGTTTCGTCGGATGATTCGCGTGATCCTCTACCACGGCCGATATGCCATGTCACGCACCGAAATCCAACACTGGATCTGTACGTTCGACGTACAGCTGCAGGACGTGGACTATTGGCTGGAGCGCGGGCTGCGCCAACTGGTTAACCAGAAACATGTCGTCGTTGTCTACGGAAATCTTTTCGTGAACAGTTGCATCGACCTGTGGCTACGAAGCATTCGCGGCTGCTGTCTCTGCACCACTCTGGCCCAGACCATCAGTGAGTGTTTCTGTATTTTTCGAAGTAGCATTCTTGATACTTACACTTAAAAATAGCACAACAACGCCGCCTACTGCAAGTCACCTTGCCTTCCGTAATTTTAACCGAAGTGATTTAAATTGTAGATATCAAAATGGGTACTATGAAGGTGACAGTCAACGGAAGAGACACAGAACAACACTTTGCCGATTGCAGCTTCGGTTACGTGGGACAAGACGGGGATTTGGTTGTCGATGGCGTCATGGAGCGGCTGGACGCAATCGAGCCCGAGAAGAACAACACCACCAACGTAAATCTGGTAATCCGGGCAAGCAAGGACGGGCGTATTGAGAGAGAACCAATTATCACGCTCACTCAGCTGAAAGCTATGGGCGGCCGTCCCAAATATGTTCCCCGATCAAAGAATACAGACACCGAAAAGAAAAGCCAGAAGATGAAGGAGAAAGCTGAACGACCTGGCGCTGAGGTGAGCGCTGCTGAACCGGATGCCATCGATAAATTACTGCAGCAGGTTGAGCGCGAAAAAGACATTATGGAGAACTGCAAAGCGCTGGTAAACACGCTGAAAGCTCGAGCGACCATGGATGCAAAACATATCGCGTATATCCGTGAGGCTCTAGAACAGCGTCTTGCCAACTTGAAAACTGCGGAGGAGAACTTGGATCTGGATTAAACAGCGGTTGTAACATATCTGATAATTTGTTCTAAAATTCGGCCGACTGTTATTTCTTCCGTTTAATCTTTTAATCTCGTTGAATTAATCTCATCAAAGTTTTAACAGGCAATTCTCATAATTCCGTACAGATTCTCATATAGTCATTAATTTTGCTGGTCGGACAGATCTTAATTCGAGTTTTAATTTTGGATTTATGCAGCATTTGAATAACCGCAATAAAATCGGTGTAACAGAATGCGCAACCGTAACAACAGTGAATTCCAATGCAGAGTGAGAAATTAGCAGCTTAAAATCAATTATCACACCTGGAACCGTGAATCAAATGCTAAAAACAATTGTAATATTCCATCCTGGGAACAAGGTTACAGGAACCACCAAAGAAAAGTAAAAAGAATGGAAAGGAACTTTTAAAACTTGCAAAATTTGTATTCACGCAGGATTGAACCTTGCATCTAGGTGGACAACTAAATCCTGCTCTTGCCCATACGCTAGCATGGCTATGCCACATTTGACTTTTAATTTGGCAATCACTAGAGGCGCCGTACTACGAAAATTCACAATATAATAAAAATTCGCCACTGAAGCAGCTGATAAGTTTAAGATTTCACTACCATCATGATCGCAAAATTCGCGCCGGCAACGGAAATATTTCTACAAGAGTGCCAATAAAAATATAGACACGAAAAAGTAGGATTTCAGAAAATGCAATTTAATTTCAAGGGGTTTCGAACCCGCAACCTTCATTGCACCTGTTGTTGTGGTTCAACAGTTCAGTGCACTACGCCACTACAATCTGCGAAGTTAAACTTAAAATTCGCTCGTCGGGAGTGACCGTAAAATTAGCGATCTCGAAGCCAACATAATACTGCATATTGATATAAAAATATAAAACCGAAAAAGAAGGTTTTAAATTAAACGGATTAACTTTTAGGATTTCGAACTCTAGACTTTGTAAGAAGCGGGTCGGTATGGATTCTCAGTCAAGCCACTACGCCACAAGGTGCTCTACGCTTTAGCCGAGTTAGGTTGGACACCGAAAGCGCCATGTCGTGTATATTTAACCTGGCTATAATAAGGCAGCAAACCATTAACGCTTAAAAAAAAGTACAAAAATATAGAGCAGGAAAAATGTAGTTTTTAACATGCAGCATGCAACCCTGAGATTAAGACTAGCCGTTTTAGGAGGTAGAACATGAGGCGAATGGCCATCATTCATAGCCACTGAACTACAAAGTCATTCGAATACAGACAAACAGACGGCCAAGTGCAATGTTAACCATGGAGTGTATATACAATTTTACGCCCAGCTCTTTGTGTTTAATTCTAATATTCAGGGAGCTATTTGTCAATACTTTTCCCAAGACGAGAACAAAAATATGAGACGAAAAAAAGTAAGTTTCTCAAAATTGCAAATTGGCTGTAAGGGACTTGAACCCGCAACCGTTTCATTTCCCCATTGCTGCAGTTCAACGGTGCAAAGCACTATACTACGCTGTTCTACGACAGTCATTTTTGAAATTGCTCATCGGAGAGGAACGTAAAATTAGAACGGTCAACGGCAATGCATATTCGATGGTATTATAACAAAAATAAAACCCAAAAAGAAGGTTTACGAAAATGTGCATTACTTGTAAGGGTTTTGAACCCAAGGCCCTAAATTGACCGAGTCGTAGCGGAGACAAGGCGAACAACCACTACACTACGAAGTCTCACGGCAAAATAACAAAATCCGCACGGTAAAGGCTGTACAACTAAGCACCGCTCGTTGAAAACTAATAAAAAATTAATAGTATCACACCGAACGTGTAAGTACCCACAAATGCAAGAATTTAGACACGAAAAAGAAGGTTCTATGAAAACGCTTTTTGATTTTTAGGGATTGGAACCCAGGACCAGCAACAGGTAAACGGATTCGCCTGGTATTGTCCTCTTTACTGGACCACTCGACTACAAGAGTCATTGACAAAAATAATACTACTAACACAGCTGGCAGTATTCATGTTAACACCTCTCAACAGCGATTCAGCCAATATTCGTCATATTAAATCCCACGAATAAGAATATAACGATTCATGAAATAAAAACCAAAAATGAGGATATTTACAAAATCGCGTTTTTATGTGGACTGGAACCTCCGACCTCCAATGACGAAGCAACGGAAGCCTCTACTATACTAGCGGGGTCGCTCTACGTAAAATATTGGAAAAACGTCAACACCGAAAACGTACACGAACACGAGGCAATAGCGAATGTGCCAGTGAGCAATCTACCTGGGCAACCAGCTACATGAAAACTAGCACAATATCCCAACGGAAGTGTAGTCCCGTGCGGTCGTACGTTACATTGTCCAAAAATTACCGACAACAGCAGCGACAGCGACTACTTAAACTTTATTAAATTCGCAACTCGCCTAACAAATGACCAAGTGAGCCCGCAACAGAATACAACGGAACATCCATAATTTGCAGACCGTACGAAACTAGTCAAACGGAAAACTAAACGATAGAATGATCGAACTAGTTCAACGAAGATAAAAAGTGGAAAACCAAAAGATCCAGACCATGAGATCAGCCCGTGCAAGTACAATCATAAGGGTGAAAGAATAGACGCGCATAAAATCCGTACGCTTAAAGTAACGCACTACACACAGTCCATTCACAACAGGAGGTACTCTGGATCACTGCGCGAAGTCCACCTCCGAAAAGTCTATCCAAGGACAACACATCACAGGGTTTTTGGAGGGAGCTTAGACACAGCCTCCTTGACGGCAATTCTGCCACGCTCGAAACGTTGTTGGGCTTCGGAGCGTTCAGCCATCTTTTGCGCCACAATCTCCGTCCATGCCGTAACACGGTTCTCCAGCGCCTGCTTGGCCGCTTTCTTCCTCTCGCTTGCCGGAGGAGTCATGATAATGCGAACGATTGGGAGCAAATCACGAATTCCGCAAATAAAACTTAAAGCAGCAGAGTTAGCGGAATTAGATCACGGTAATAGTAAATAATTAAATTTAAATAAAAACTCATACTGGGATACATTCAAGATAGGAGTTTGACAGCCGCCCACGCTGGCGACCGCATACTTCGTAACCAGCGAAGTCCGTTAACACACGGCCTACGGCAGAGCGTGTGTATTACAGCAACACTTCTTAGCACCGTCAACAATTTCGCTAGAGTGTGTATATTAAACGAATATACACTCAGCAAATTACAACTTTTAATTCATAAAATCGTAACTACCACAGGCTTTTAATTCCTTTTTACAGAATACTTAAAGGCTATAAAATTACGGATCATTCCATCAGTACAAAATTCATGGAAAACAGAGCCATAACTGTAGGCTCAATCACAACTGGGAGGAGAGCAAAACAATACTTGTTTTAAACGCTAAAAGGCAGCAGCTATAAAATTATACATGATTAAGCATATTGTGCTCAGACATGATTAAAGACGCACAAAAGGGCACAGAACAGCAGAGATTCAACAAAAGGGCTCATACAGAGTTAAATCTCACACCACAATTTAAACACACGAACGGCCGATCAACAAAAGTCCTCACTTCCAGTAGTTGTGGGGAATGCCACGCAGAGGGTGACGCTGCACAACGATGTGCTTACGCTTCTTCTTCGGTTTCTGATCGGAGCCGAAGTCTTCGTCCACCCACAGCATGTCCACAGGCAAGAATTCCATCGGGTCTTTAAAATTGAGCTTGTGCTCTGCCCACCAGTCATCCACGTCTAAGTCTGGCTCTTTCCAGTCCTCGAGGTTGCCAGATCCCCAGATATTTGGAACAGGCTCGTCATCATCCAAGGTGTACAAAATACGGCCACACGAACCCGGACCATTATTCTCGCAGTCAACACAACAGAGTTCCTCCTCCATCACACGCTTGTTGTGTTCTAGCATGCGCTGATGACGCTCACGCGAAGTTTCCGGCGGGTTAAATAGGGATGGCAAACCACATTCCTTCCGCAGACGTTCAGATGCTTCACGTCGAACTGGAGTGTCGGGATACAGAATAAACCCGATCTTCAAGTAATACATCTGCGACTCCGACTGGCGGATGTTCTCAATCTCCAGAGCCACCTGAGCCTCGAAATCCAACGGCTCCGGTTCTACAAAAGTTAAGGCCATGATTTCGGAATTAGAAAGCTTGCAGAGCTCCGAAATAGAAATATACGGGCCAACCAAGGAACGCCAAAAGTACACAAACTCAGCGATGTGTTCCTGGTTCGCGGAAACATACGCAACAGATTCAGAGAACTTGACAAACTTACGGCGTTTCTTATCATCCTGTTCCGCGCAAATCAAACGCCCGCGCTCTGATTTGTAAAATTCCATCTCCATTGTATGAAAGATCAGAGATTTAAACCAGAGCAAATGACGGCCAAGGTCTGAAGAGTTTAAAAGCTGCAGCTAAAAATGTAAAAATCAAGACTAAACAGGAAAACCGCTGACACACCGCAGCTGTGCAGACCGGAAGCAGCTGTGCACTATGTGACTGCCACTGCCCTAACATTTAACAACACACGGGCGGTTGCCATGGTACCAATTTCGTGCGTGTTACAACACGAAGAACTGGAATTTCTCATCCAGATTAGCGTTTCTATAACGGAATTTCCTTAAAGTTCTATCTTAGGTTTGAATTTTTACAGAATTACGGTTTCTAACAAGACACATTGCTGTTATTACTCGGATTTATTTAAAAACGACAAATCCGAATCCCCGAGTCTAAAGGTAAGCTACAAAACAGTTCAATTTACAGCGGAGCGGGCTATGCCATAAAACCAGCTATAAAACTAAAAATAAAGAATGCTGTAGAGCAGTTTATAACTAAAAGACAATTCCGTCTGTATAAAATAGTACGTTAGAAGAAACAGTATACTGTATAAACATAAGATGGCGTCGGTTACGTCATAAACTGGAGTTGGGAGCTGGACTTTCTAGTTACAATTCCCGGTTGTACTTTGTACTTGCAGCTCCCAACTGCAGCATATGATTCAGCACAACTGCAGCATATGATTACTGCATATGTACACGTATAGAAGTACACTAACTAATTTACTCACTTACTGATAATCACACACACACGCTGGTGCATCTGCTGTGCATACCTCAAGGATGCTCGCAGCCCAGATGCAGCTACCTGTGCAGCCGTGTTGCACCCGTGCAAGTGGTTGTTTACATTCTTTTACCGCATGGAGCGGCATTGGCACATTAGCGCAACTGGCTCGTCAGCGATGGTGCTGCATACCATGCGCGTCTCTTATTGATTGAAAACACTTATAGTAATGCTGCGCACTTATAATATACAAATTATTTGTCAACTTATCGAGTAGTTTAATTGCTTAACTGGATTGTGCACGGCTTATATATAATTGTGAAACTTGACATGCGCCCAATGGTTGGAGTACTGTACGGATGGATGGATGGTACTGTACTATATGGATACTACTGTACACTGTACAGTTATATTGGTTTACTTTCACTGCTTGATTCAACAAGTTGTTTACATTCTTTTACACTATGGAGGAGCACTTTAACGCATCTGGCTCGTCAAAGCCTTTCAACGCATAGTAAGTGAAATATAATTACTTTTCAGTGGATATTACTAGCTGCTCTATTCTCAATTTATTTATACATATATAATCATGGAAACTAACAGGTACGATGGAATATTATCTTCTTTATTACTGTACATTATGCCTGTAGTGTGTAATCAATTTTGACAATTATTTGCAGTCTACTGCGTGCATGCTTATGCGTGCGTGCAGATCAACTGGAAAAAAGTCCGCCAGGGTCGCTGCAAAATTTTTTCCACTGGAGCCAAAGCCACATTTCTGTTAACGATTACTCCGCTAATTGCAGAATTTATGAATTTCTTGTACACGAAGTAAGTGAAGCAAGTGTTTTTAGTTTATATTACGTTGTAACCCATGCTGTATTTGTCATGTGTACATAGTTTCGGGGCTGCTATAAACTACGAGGGTTTGAGTGGAAAAAGTTGGCCTGAACTTCTCAAAGAATTTTTCCACCTTGTCAACGGTATGGCGTAATTTGCTGATTCCGCAGTTTCCTGATTACAAAATTATTATTATATGCTTGTATGTTTGCTCAATGCTTTTATAACAAAAAATACATTTCGTAATAAAATCTAATTATCATAATTAATGAGTAATGTATTGTACAGTATTGCACTGTATATGTAGTATGTACCAGATACTTTTAAGGGTAAACGTTCTTTACATTTCTTAATAAATTTAGCACTAATGCTTTGTAATGCCAGGTAACAGAAATATGCAACGATAGCTTTTTTTGTAATTTTATTTACTGCTGCATTTAGGTTCCTAATAACAGGCGCAATTCGTTTTCAGCAGTATGAAGAGTATCAGCATCTTTTGCACCTAATAAATTAATTTTTCCAGAATGGAAAATCATCGCCGTACAACCTTGAAGCCGGACTCGCATGGCCGGAAATATTTCAGGTTCAAACATGGCATCAGCTTTTGCTCTTATTGAGTTGTATAATTTCTCTAAACTAAGAAATTTCCCAAAATTGAAAGTGGCGACAATGTTAACAATTCTTGGATTCTTTAACGATGCTTTTTGATAGCCGTATTTTTGCAGTTTCCGGTAATAGTGATCCAATAACGCGAGAGCATCACTGATGGACTTTGCACCATTAACTGTGATCTTGCCGTTGCGGTACACTTGGCAGTGCGATTTGTAAGGACGAATGGAACGGAGAAGAAGCCCGGAAAATTTATGTGGTGCATAATGAGCAAGCGGAGCGCGTTCGGATAAGCTGGGTAAGTCAATTGCGCAGCCAAGGTCAGCAGTTGCAACAACGTTAGTTATTTTCGCCATTCAGCCAATTTGCAAATGTCTCCGCTTTTGAAAGCGTTGTTTGTGGTAATGAAGTAAGCTCCTTAAACTTCGGGCACCCAATGTCTTCAAGATTAAACACTTCAGGCAAATAATTTTCCAAAATCTTTTGCTTTTCCAATCCTTTGGCAAAAACGTCAAACGCGCAGGTCGTTCACCAATAAGCTCCAGCATATCCTGAATCGCCCTGGCGATGTCCAAGTATAAATAATCTCCACGATTATGCCAGACAAGTCCGTGTGAGTGACGCGATTGGCTCCTAAATTCAACGCGGTAACGATTAAAGTGGGATGGAATGGTGAATGTGTAGCACCTGCTAACACTAGTTGGGCAATCACAAAATGCCAGCTGTTTTATAAGCCGTTGGGAGCCAGCGATAAACCAATCAATATCTAAGACAACCCTCCGCTTTGAAGTCTCCATTCTGTTATCGGTACGCTAGCAATAGCTCCGCCCTTTGGAAATGGATTCCTTAAATAGGTATCCGCGCACGACAGCTGATTTGAGATTCCGACTACCCGCTTCAGTCCTTGTTGTGGGGCCAACGACTTCGGGGAAAACGACATATGTGTCAAAATTAATTATGGAGCGCGATAAATTATTTGACCAACCATTTGGACGAATTATTTTGGTGTACGGAGAAATGCAGCCAGCCTACGAAGTGCTTCAGCGCAAAGTCCCTTGGATTGAACTGACAAAAATATTCAACAAATTGTGGAGGATGAAAATTATTTTGATGGTAAACAAAATATTTTGTTGATACTGGATGACGTGGCAAGTGGTTTGGTGAAAAATGAGCATTTGGCTAAACTCTTCACTCAAAAAAGTACACCATAAACGGCTTTGTGTATTTCTATTATTCAATAACCTATATAAACAAGGGTCTGCTATGCGAGACGTGCATCTTAATGCACAATATCTTATACTGTTCAAAAATAATCGTGATGTGAACCAAATCAAGATTCTAGAAAGGCAGACTGGTTTAAAACATCTCAGCGGAGCTTACGAGGAAGTCGGCCAGGAACCATTTCAACCTCTCATTTTGGATATGAAACCGGACACACCTGCCTATTTAAGGATTCGTTCAGCAATATTACCGGGAGAGTTGACTAAAATTTACATTAATCCACATACGACAACCTTGCCCAAGAATGTGTGATCAGATTTTAAAAGACTTTGCACCGTTTCTCCTTACCCTGCGATCGCTGAAACCCAAGCAGCGTCGTTTTCTTTGGAAAATATTTCGAAACGACAACTTCGCTGTTTTGAAGAAATTTGTTTGAATTTGGTAAAGAATTCAGTGCCTCTTACCACCGATCAGCTAAAGGTGTGTCAGCGTTGGCGTCGACCATTAAAGCTGATTGCCCTCAAAAAATATCCTTTACGAAGCAAGAGGAAATTTTATTACAGCGCGGAGGATTCTTACCTGCGGTTCTACCTGTATTGGCAGCTGTTTTGGGAACTGCCTTACTGAAATGAAACCGGAAGTGCATTATATTGTTCCCGCGAGCGAAATGAAAAGACTTGCAAGTGACACGGTTGGTCGTATTGTAACGGATGTCCAATTACAACAGCAGCCTACTGAAGTTGTGGATATTGTAAAACTGGACGATTTGATGAGAGATATAATTTCACGGAATACGCTAAGCGAATGGGAGAAAGCGGAACTGTTATCAAGAAACTTGGCTCGCTTTTTGGCGCTGAAAGAGTCGGCGTTCGGCCCTGACCAAATGGTTATTCCGCCTCCAGCATCTGTGCCCCCCATTCCAGTACAACTATTAAAGAAGCCGTGGGTACCCCCTAATATGCCTGATCGTATGTTAGATGCTTTCCCTCCTATTCCACCTGCACCCCCGGCAAAACGCAAGCGTGCAAAGCGAGAAGTATTTGATGAAAACACTTTACAAATCGAAGGTCCCATCGGTTCAAGAACCAAATCCCAGTTCAACTGGATGACTATTAATAACAAATGAGTGGTGGTGGATGCGTTCCTTTTCTTTGTCTTTGGGTGAAGGTATGACATGGAACTGCACATCTAGCTGTTGCGATGGATCAAGCAGTAGCGACGACGAATACGATGGCCAATCTACTGCTACGACAAGCGTATCTGAACCCTCAGCACCCGGGCAGCTTAACAGGGATTCAAAAGTTTCGCAGCCACTTTCCACAAGCACCAAACTATCAACAAACGCGGGAACAGCTGGAGCATCTGGATCCATATACAGTCCACAAATCTCGACGCAAAAGGTTCAAAAGAAACCCCGTAGTTGTCTCAAACCTAGCGGAGCAATATCAAGCCGATCTGGCAGACATGTCAAAATATGCGAAGCAGAACAAAGGATACCGTTGGATATTGTTTGTGATCGACGTCTTCAGCAAGAAAGTGAGCTGTCAACTACTAAAGAATAAAAGCGGTCTAGAAGTAAAACTTGGGTTGGAAAAGGTGTTTGCAGAACTCGGAGCTCCCATTAAATTGCAAACGGACAAAGGTCTTGAATTTTACAATAAGGACGTTAAGAGTTTTTGACAGCCCAAAAGGTTTTTTGTTCTCTTCTGAAAATAAAGCAATCAAAGCATCCTTAGCTGAAAATGGCATACGCAATCTCAAGAAACGAATATGGAAATTATTTCGACACCGACAGTCTAAAGTGTACTGGGACGTTCTGGGAGATTTGGTAAACAGTTACAACAACGCAATTCATTCTTCGCATAAAGTCACGCCTAATGAGGTTAGCCAGTCCAATTCTCTGCAAATATTCAATCGACTATATGCAGAATTATTATTGGGAAAGCAGAAAAAGCCAAAAGTACAGCGTAGGTGACACAGTACGAGTAGCCATCGACAAAACACTTTTGAAAAAGGATATGAGTCAACATTTAAGGAGGAAATTTACAAGATACACCAAGTATTACCACAACAGCCCGAGCCCCTCTACGTATTACTGGATGAAGACGGGGACTTAATTCGCGGGAAATATTACGAAGCCGAACTCAGTCGTGTCAGAAATGGCTCATAATAGCTTTTATGTCACGCTTCCATCTGATGCCTGTATGCAACAGTTCCCAAAGAATAATGCAGCTGAATGGACCACAAAGTTAAAGAGCGTGATATCGCTACCGGGACAATGGGAAATGGCATTGGTGGAAATACAGTATCCTAATTCAATGTACAATTTACCCAGTCCCCAAACGTTGCACGTTGACCAAATTACTTCTATGGATAGCAACGGTGTTTTCGCTATGGAGAGGGACACAATTACGGTACCTGCAGGGATCTATGAGAAAAGTGACATCATTAATTTTATCAACAGTAAAGTACCACGGTTAAAGCCATTTCGCGATTCTTCAGCGAAAGAACAGGCGGCTTTCCAACTAGAATTATTTGCAACCGAGCCCAAGCTCAAAGTGAAATTTCCCAGCGTACGTGTTTTTCTGGATTTTCCTCCCTCATCTTTGCATCTATCCCGTATGCTTGGATTTAAAGAACGACGATTTTCTGCTGCACAGTCTGAACAATATGAAAATTTTTAATGGAAAAACGAATTTTGCTTCCGCAGCTACAACACTGTCCGACCAGCTGAAAGCCCTGGCAGAGTTGCAACTGTTGGAGACGTCTATAACAATGACAGCAGATAAGCCCGTAAATATGCACATTGGGAACCAGTCAATTTTGTCTACTGCAACAAGTGCGACTACAATATTGTGGGCGATGAAACTATGCAGCTTTTGCGCGCTTTCCCCATTAAAGCAAGTGTTCCTCGCTTCGAAATTGTTTCCGAAAGGTTTGAGGATCCACATTATTTACCTGTTTTATACGATCGACTGGACACTATTGATATCAACATTGCAACTGATCTCGGAGAAGCGGCAATTTTTCAGACTGGAAAGTCAATGGTAAAGCTGCATTTCCGCCCCATTCAGTATTACTATCGCTAAAAAATGCCCGTAATCCTCTTTGAGCCGTCACCATCGTTCTATCTGGATTTATTTGCGGGGGCCGCCACGGGCGCTAGTAGCCAGCACGGCTATGGAGCCGTCGCGACACGCTATCGCGGGAGTTTAATGCAAAATGGCAGCGGATTTATGCTACCTAATTTCCTGCGCGCAATGTTTAGTAAATTAGCGCATTTTGCTGCCCCGGTTATTAAAGCAGCGGCACCACATGCCAGAGCAGCAATGGAAGCAGCAAAGCCCCACTTACGCGACGCAGCGACAACAGTTTTAAGTGAAACATCCAAGAAGGTAGGAGAGAAAATTTCGGAAGCGTTAACTGCGCAACCTCAACAGCAAGGAGGCATCAAACGGCTCAAGCAGCAGCACAAGAGGACAAAAGATAAAGAAACCTTCCTTCCGACTTAAACGGCTTAAACGGATTCCCCCAAGAGAATTTGAGGACGCATTTTAAAATGGCTTTTATTTTGGAAGGAAGCGTGCCAGCTATGCAGGTCGAGTCGGATTTATTCTCCGTTCCGGCCACTCTAGCGGATTTTGTGCGGACAGAAGAAGAACGCATTCTACCAACATCAGGGCAAACAGAAGAAATTAGTTCTGGAGAAATTTCCTTTTACATTCCCCCTTCAACGTCGGCGCTGCTAGTGCTACCGGAAATTACGCTAGAAATGGATATTGCAATCAAAAAGCAAATTGCAGGACTTGGTGCGGCTACGCATATTGAAAACACGGATCTGGTAGCACCAGTGAACTTGATTGCACATTCTATATTCAGCTCGGTAGAGGTAACAATGGCCAACCGCCTGATAACTAATTCCACCCCATTATATGCCTACCGAGCGTACTTGGAAAATTTGTTGGGGTACACACCGGCTGCCCTAAAAAGCCAGGCAACAAGTGCTGGATTTTATATAGACACTCCCGGGTACCTAGAAGATCATGCCAATAACGCTGGAGAAGTAACGCGAAAAGCTATGTTTGTGACCAACGAGTACGTCCCGTTCAGCGCCAAATTATGTACGGACATTTTTCAGCAGGGAAAAAATTTGATCACCGGTGTACCGCTACATGTGCGCCTCATTTTGAATAAGCCGGAATTCTACCTGCGTTCATATGCCAATCTTCCAGTGGATACCTTTAAAGCATACATTCGCAATCCGCGGTTGTACGTCAAACGCTTTGTGCCTAATCCGGCATATTTGTCTGCGCTTACTGCCCAATTATCGACAAAGACTGTGAAATACCCTATTGAGCGAGTGTGTATGCGTGTTAATGATATTGGTATGATTCAGAGCACAGTGCTGGCTAATTTACATATTGGAGCAGTACCCAAATGTGTTTTTGTGGGATTTGTAAAAAGCTCGAGTTTTCACGGGCTGCGCCGAGGTAATCCGTTTAACTTTGAACATTTCAATCTCAACTATATAAGTGTCGAAGTCGACGGACAGTCGTATCCCGCACAAGCCTACCGACCAAATTTCGCCACGGGTGATTATTTGCAATCATATGACGGTCTGTTGGAGACGCTCGGCCGCTTGCACGCACCGGACGGGGCGCTGCCTTTCGACCGTAAAGCATTTGCGGAAGGATTTGCTATTTGGGGATTCGATCTGACACCTTCACGGACAGGCCGGGGACCGATGAGCACCGTGCGCCAAGGAAATCTATCAATCCGCCTGCAGTTCGCCGCCCAATTAACTGAACCAATTATGGCCATTACGATGATGGTGTGGGATAATATTATTGAAGTCAATTCACATCGCCAGCTAATTGCGGATTTTACAGCGTAAAACCTAACGTAAGTGTTGTAAGACTTAAAAATGCCGTGTTGTTGCCTGCGCGGTAAGCTTCAGGGTCGCCAGCGGGGTGGGCGCGCCGTCGGCCCCTTTGACGCTGAAGAGAATCGTGACGGATGTGGTAAACAATGGGCGACCGGAGCGCTTCGCGCTCTCGGTCGCCATTGTTCTACAGGACAAAGTGTAAAAAAAAAATTCAGATTTTATTTTGAATGCAGATCGGCACTAAAATGGACACTGCTGAAATCGACCACGTGCTACGTTCAAGTACCGTGACGAAAGACGCTTTTATTGGTGTATTTGCTGCGGACATGTTACCACCGTCCCTGCCAATGAAGCTGCCATGGGCATGCGTTGTCAATACTGACGAAGCTGCAAAGCCAGGCTCGCATTGGTTGGCGTTCTACCAGGACGTCCCGGGAAAATTGGAATATTTTGACTCTTATGGTCACGAACCGAGATTTTACGGCATCCATATTGAAAGTTTTTGCAAGAACGCCGAGTTAGTTATTTCGCAAGCGCATCGTTTACAAATGGAATGGAGTACCGTGTGCGGACAGTACTGCTGCTTTTTTTATTCTAAAACGATGCTCCGGCGAGTCATTTACCTCTCTTATTCATTTGTTCACCAATAGCAAATCGTCGAATGATCGAATGGTTTGTGCTTATATTAATCATTATTTTGATTTGAACACTGTAATACGTGATCGCTCTATGATAATTCAGTCTGTTTTCCGTCAAATAATGCAATAAAGTCTGGCCATCAAACCCTTACGTATGAGTGTAGGTGTAGTTACTTTGTACCGCAACAAATTGCAGTGCAACAAAATATTACACTACAGCAACATTGCGCTGCCATGTGGATGTTTTGTTTCGAAATATAAACAGGACATCGCATTTTGTACTCGTGGTCTTGCCAAAAACATGTGCTTCATAGCAGTTTTCCTTACTGCATCTATTTCTATTTGGCGAAGCAGAATGGTTTTTCGAATTGTTGTGGACATCAAATGGTATAATCGTAATGAGAAGTCAATTATAACGGAACTGGCAATTAGTTCTGTTGATTTCCATTGTCTATATTACACCCGATTTTTGCTTCCTCCGGATAATTACATTGTTAGCAAGTACGGCATCAGTTCCACGAATGTCGATGAAATATTTGTTAAAGCTTTCTCGGACCTGGAGATTCAGATAAATCGAGCGTTCAGAAACTATCTGCAAAACGTTAAAGACCCCCCTAAGCGTTGTTTTCTATGCGAAAGGTTCAGAAAAGTGCGGTATTATCCAGGATTTATTAAAATCTGATTGCATCAACTTGGACTCGTTAGGCTGCCCGCGCTTTTCCGATTTATGCAATGACAGATGCTACAGTCCCAACAAAGCACAGGCTTACTCAAACTGGATGCTGACTCAGTATCTAAAAGTTCCAAAAAAATGCTTGCTTTGCCGCATGCCGATCCCCGACACTGGCGTTCGTCATCATCGACGATGGCGCAGTCGAATTTCAAGACCAGATCTAAATTACTATTCGGGTACGTGCTCAAATTTTGATGTTCTTTTTTAAAACATTTCTGACAAGGTTTACGAAATTGCAGATGAACAGGGTAACAGGTGCTGCATCCGTTGTGGAGCTGTATTCATTTCCGGTGAGGACCGCACTGAACAAAAAAGGATCGCGGATATTAACATGCCTGACATTTTTAGCGCATGAATCATTGAGCGATCTGTTTGGAAAATTCAGATGATAACAAAAATGCTGTAGCGGAATTTATTCATATATAATCTGAGTATCTTGGGTGCATCTTTGAGACTAGTAAAATCACGTTGCCAGAGCTCGTCTTTACGATGACGCAAGTACCTGATCGTGTACAGGGCAACTCTAACGCCTGTACTAGTAACCCACAGTTTGCTGATACCGCACTTTTCAATCATGATTATGCTCTTCTTGATCATAATTATACTGTACCACGAGCTGATCTGCCAGCTTTGAATATAGCTGACGAAGTCGATCCAGACTTGAATGACATTAAAGATTATTATGTGCTCGAAAATATCGGAGCAAAATATTCCCAGAAATTTTCAGTTTCGTTCGAAACTTACAAATGTACAGTGACGGGGCTGGATAATCTATCGTTCAAGTATGCTGTTAAAACGATAACACTCGTTTTGAAAGATATTCTGGAGAGTGTGATTGCTGCGATTCCAGCGCATAACCTGGTGCGAATCCGCATGTATCAAAATGCTCTGCAGTATCCAATTTGGATGCCACCTATTCGGCGGGACCAAATAACAATTGAACGGTGGATGACGACAATAAGGCGGATTCTAAACTCTAATCAGGCTTTTCTGCTAGACGAATCATTTGAACTGTCAGTCCAGCACACTGATTTGCCATCCGGATCATGCAGAAAAAATGTATCAAAATTGTTGCAGCGGATTTTAGACAACAAAAGATGTATTACCCAGATTCGAAATACGGACTGTTTGTGTATGGCCAGGGCTATAGTTGTGGCACAAGCGCATGCAGATGGCGACAAAGAGCTGTACACAAAGCTTTACCGAACCATAAAGTTGCAAGACCAGAAGACAAAAGAATTATTGTTGACTGCCAACCTGCCAAACAGAGAATTCAACGTGCAAGATATTCCCCGCTTTGAAGAAGTTTTACCGAATTATCAGTTTATTGTGGTATCTGTGGATCATGGAAATTCTATCGTCTACTGCGGCGCCTACTGCGAAAAGCGAATTATGCTGCTGCATCACGATCAACATTTTGATGTTTTAACATCTTTACCGGCCTATTTTGAGCACCACTATTACTGTTACCGTTGCATGAAAGGCTACGATCAAAGACAGTATCACCGCTGCGAGTTCAAGTGCCACCAGTGTTTGTCTGCAACTTGCAAAATGAATAAGCAAGAAACCATACACTGTCTGGACTGTAACCGCGATTTCTATGGGCAAGATTGTTTTGACAGACACCAAGCTGGGAGCAGCACCATCTGCGCAAATTTTTCATTTGCCGTGAGTGTAAAACCTTTGTCTCCATGGTAAATCGCCGTATGAAGACCAATTACGATACAATTCATGGTGAGGACAATGACCAGGACCACGATATTGCTAAGGAAATCGAACTAGATGTTGACGATCAGCAACATCGATGTGGTGAGTTTTGTGCGACTTGCTCGTTATTCTATATGCCGGAGGAAAACCATGTGTGTTATATGAAACCCGTGGAATTTACGGATAAAGAAAAGGCCAAGCACCATAACGACAAGCTGGCATACTTTGACCTGGAAACATATCAAGACGAGAGTGGAGAATTTAAAGTCAACCTAGCGGTGATCGCGACAAAAAATGAAAAATTTATTCTTCCAGAAAACGGTAATATTAACGGCGACATTTCACAAGAACTTGGCGATTTCATTTTCAGTGAGCGTTTCCGTGGCTACACATTTATGGCGCACAATTTGAAGGTAGCGAAAGTCAACACGTTAAGTAACTTCTTTATTAAATAAATTGATAATTTATTTTTCAGGGATTTGATGGATACTTCATTTTGAATTATCTCGTGAAAAACGGCGTTATTCCACGTCCGCTTATTTTCAACGGGAGCAAGGTTATGCAGATGGACGTGCCCAAACTCAAAATAAAATTTCGTGACTCTATGAACTATGTACCATCATCGTTAAAAATTTTGCGAAAGCATTTGGTTTGCAAGAAACCAAAGGAGATTTCCACACAAACTTAATAAGCCTGAAAACTGGAATAAAATAACTGCTTGGCCCGATCGTCATGACTATGGCTATCAGTCTATGAAAAGAAAGAACGAAAGCGCTTCATGAAATGGTACCGCAAAGAGCGACGCCGTCACAGGAACAAATTCGACTTTAATGCACACTTTATCAAGTAAGCTAAACCCTTATGCTATTTACAGAATCGAACTTATCCGATTCGTTTTAGGTATTGCTCACAAGATGTCCTCATTTTGCAACAAGCGTGCGAAAAATTTCGAGCGCTTTTCCAACAGGTAACCGATGGATTATGCCCATTTGCGTCTGGACTAACCACACCCGGCATGTGCAATTACTTTTGGAGAGCGCGAATGCTGAAGGAAAACCAAATTGCGTTGATCGGCCCTCCTGGTCAGGGCAAAAAGTCATCTGTCAAAGGAGAGCGTTGGCTACGCTGGATTGAAATGGAAAATGATGTAAAATTGCAAAAAGAGCATCGAATCGGTCACTGGACTGTGGATGGTTTTGATCGGGATACAAAAACCGCTTACGAGTTTTTAGGTTAGTCAGCTCGATATAAATGTTATCGATCACATTCAAAACGCAATTCACCTTCAATGTTTTTGTGCAGGATGTATGTGGCACGGCTGCAGCGAATGCACAACAAAAGCACGCTGCATCCCTTTCTGAAACGGCCAATGGAGGAAGTTAACAAAGCAACTGCCTTACGCCTTGAAGCTATCAAAACTATGGGCTATTCCGTAGTTTCGATCTGGGAACACGACTATGATAGCCGGCTCACTACTGACCTGGAATTTCAGAAAATAATTCAGTTGACCGGTATTGAAGAACCTATGCACCCCGAGACGCATTTACTGGTGGCAGGACAAACGCTATCAAGTTGTACCACAAGTGCGATCCTGGAGAAAAAATCTATTCGCTCGACGTTATCAGCGAATACCCTTATATTAACAAAAATCTACCTTATCCGCCTGTTATCATTACTAAAGATTTTCCGCCTGTGGAGAGTATTTTGGAATAATTAAATGTCGCGTCATTCCTCCACCGTCGTTGTTTTTACCGGTGCTACCTTACAAAACTGATAAACTGACTTTTCCTTTATGCGCTAAATTGCGTGACGGAACGCGTAAACGAACCATGTTCTCACGATGATGAGGACAGGGCTCTGGAAGGAACTTGGTGCACTCCAGAAATTCATCGAGCATTAGAAGTTGGCTATCGTATCGATAAAATATACTCGGCTTGGCACTATCCAGAACAAATGCAGTATTTATTCAGAGAATACATTGACCTGTTTTTGAAGCTGAAAACGGAAGCTTCTGGATATCCACCACAGTGTCAAACGGAAGATGAAAAAGACAGATATATTCAAGAATTCCTTGCTAAAGAAAATATTCTACTGGATAAAAAGAATATTGCGAAAAACGACGCATTGAGAGCTCTTTGCAAGCTTATGCTAAATAGTTTTGGTACACATGTGAACTTATTTAATTTGTGCATGTTCATTATTTTTACGCTCATTGCAGGGAAAATTTGGTCAACAGGAAGACCGATCCAACACGGATATGGTGGAAAAGAAAGAGGTATTCCATGATTACTTGTTTTCTAACAAGTACGAAGTCGCCGGGTTCGATTTGGTCACCGATGAAGTTATGGCAGTTCAATACCGCTCCAAGAAGGACTACATTGCGACGAGCAAAAAGACCAATGTTGTTATCGCAGCTTTTACGACTGCGTACGCACGGCTACACTTATTAAAATTCATGGAAATGGTTGGAGACCGTTTGTTATACCACGATACAGGTGAACGCGCGAAACAGTATTATCGGCAAATTGCTCATCCACTTCTTTATTTTGCAGACAGCATTTTCTACATCCATAGAGACGATTTGCCCGATCCACCAACGGGAACGTGCTTGGGTGATTTGTCCTCGTCTTTACAGCCTGACGAGTACATTGACGAATTTGTAGCGCTTGGTAAAAGAATAATTATCTAGATAATAATATGCGAGCAACTTAAAATGTTAATTCTTTGTTGTCCCAGGACCAAAAAGCTATGCTTACCGGACAAATACTGGATGTGAAACGATAAAAGTCAAGGGATTTACGTTGACACGGCAAGCGAAAAACAGCTAAACCTGGAAAGCCTGAAAGAGATGCTACTGGAAAGCCTGGCACCACCGGACCAGCCAAGCGGAATTACCGTGAATTATCCGTTCAACATAACACGCAATAAGCGCAAGCTGGAAGTTTCGTCGGCGGAAATTAACAAACGATTTAAACTTACTTACTCAAAACGTAGAATTGTTGACTCTGATTTTAACACTCGCCCATGGGGTGATGTTTCGATTGAGTAAATCATCAACTTCCAGTGCGGTGCAATTGTTAATAAAGGTCCTGACACTGTGGCTTGCTCCGAAAAATGCTTCCAGCAGTATTATAAGAATTAACATAACAATAATGCAAGTCCCCACCACGGCTTCGCAAAAGTTTTTTTTACACACAATGCGCGCCATTGTAACAAAAGTCACTTGTTTTTTTTTTCTAGATTTTATGCGTTCCGTGGTGCCTTTAATACTTACTTCCTCCCGAAAGACTGTAATTAGTTAACTATTGTATTAAATTTTAACTACATATATATATATATATATATATAGTATTATAGTATGCACTATGGACATACACTATACAATTGTGATGACTCATATTCTGGAGTTGGGAGCTGTAGTCATAAAGTCCAACCGGGAATTGCAGTTGGAAAGTGCAGCTCCCAACTCCAGTTTATGACGTAACCGACGCCATTTTATGTTTATACAATATACTGTTTCTTCTTCTTATCTTATTTAGATTTATCTTATTATTTTTAATATCTACCTAAATAATATATTTAGTTGTTTTGCTTGCATTTTTTTATTTTCCTGGATCGATCAGATAATTACAAGAGAAACGTTCTGCTCAGTTTGTGAAACAGCTGATTAGCATTGCTTTATTACGTGGAAATGTCGCATATGTATTGGACAAGGAACGCCCTGTACAAGTAGTCTGTATTCGTATTGGTAGAGGACTTAATGTAGACCCGTTCAATGTCGCGGAAGTGATTCTGGTGCACGGAATCTTTATTATAAAACAATCCCATTTTTCTAACATGTCTACAAGTAAACCCAATCAAACGCTCAGACATACAATACGTAATAAATATTATTACCACCAACGAAATAACCGCCGATGACCGCCAGTGACCGGCGAAAAGCATTATATATACCAAACACATCAAACAGCATCATACAGCGACGTACAGCGTGCTCAACAGAAACGCGTCAGTACATGCATCGTCTGGCAAACTAAAAGCGTGATTTGTGATTAATTTATTAAATACTACATATTATCTGTTCAATTACAGTACACTGTGTAATACTCTGTACCGAGCATAATACCAGAGCACCGATGAAATAACGGAATCAATGCTACCAGCCGGCAGTACTGATACGGAAGCCGGCAGCCGAACTACCGTTCAGTAAATAAGCGGTACAAACGACACACTGCACATATTACAAAACATAATTATAATAATATAATTAAAAGAAAACCTTGCCGCCTGCTCTTTGCTTAACAGGCGCTTTTTGTGCCGTTCGTGAACTTGTTTCTATTGCGTTTTAAGCGATACCGATCAAGCAAAGTGCATAGGCTACATGTGTCGTCGCCTTCCTGTTTGGCCATAGCAAAACTCTATGTGCAGTTTTAATTTAAACTGCCTCTTGTACTGAAGCAGTCGTCTGCGTACGGATGGAACACTTCTGTGACGTATTTACTGAGCGCTAATACTTTCAGTTTATTAGCAGCTCAGGAGCTGCACCTTAGCAGACTAAAACATCAACAACGCAACTGCGTATGTACATTAACTACGCCAGTTGCCAGGTACAACATTCGTACAACACAACATGTTTACATTGGCATTCACGAGAATCCTTTACTATACACTACAACTTCCGCTCCAAATGTACTTTCCGATGAATCCTCCGCAGAACAGCGTAGAATCTTCACCTTGTTTTGCGGATCGTTTATCGTGAGCTTGCCGTTATTCAAACATCAAGTATCTGGCGTTTTCTTTGCGGGCCAACCCCGGGGAGGGGCGTCACCGTAATGAGCGCCGGCGGATGCCAAGCGTAATTAGCGTGGCGTGACGTGCCGTAGCATAGAGTTTGGCGTAGCCCGTCTTCGGCAGTTGTACATATTTGTCGCGGTGTTAATGCGATAGAAATTACGGGATATTCTTGTACAGCTAACCTCAGCGTCACTGTCATGCCGGTGATGAATATTTATCCGCACCTAACGCGTACCTTCGACAAGGTACCGTGTGCGTGCGTATTAAAATTTAATTGTTATCATATTGATTATTATTCTTCATTAGGGAATTATGTGTTATTATTAAACAAGGTATGCCTCGCGCTCCGCGCTCGGCAAAACCCTCTTGGACGGAAACTAATATTTGATCTCCCCACGATTTTTTCTTGAACCTCTGACCTCTGTGCGATTCCGATTTTTCTCTACTTTATAAATTATTGCACTAATTGCTGCCTCCGTGGCAACAATTTTTTTTACTCTTAAGAATGTACTACAGTACCACTGCACCAGTATCTAAAGAACGTCATTAAACTAAATACTCCATTTTCTATACTTAAGAACCTGTCAAAATTTCTTCTGACCAACGCTTTCAAAACAAAATCAAAATTCAGAAGGCACACCTATGGAAAATTAGAAATTTTTCAAGACTAAGCTTGACTTGAACTGACCACGCGTTGATTTATCCATAAAAACCCAGGAAAAATACGTTTTGAACGGTAAGCTTGTATGAACATAGAGATAGGCATTAATAACTTTACTCCAGCTTTATAATCGGAGTGGCTATTTTGCCCCAGTGTGTGGGGGGAAAATAACTACTGGGCTATTTTGCCCCAGTGGGGCCCGTCAAATAGTTAGTTGGCTATTTAGCCCCATACTGGGGTTTCACAGTCCTTGGCTATTTAGCCCCATTGTGGGCGTCTGAGTAGCCTTCCGGCTATTTAGCCCCATAACACTCTTCGAAGGTAACGGAAAAAATGTTATAGGTTGGTACATTGCCGTGGCCATCCTGGAGTTTTTGGTATGTCATGTGCAAATATTCAGTTAATAACTTCACCAGTGATATCGGATAGAAATCCAAACGGGAGTGCGCCGGTAAAACATTATAACCTGCTTGTAGCCATCTCTCTTGCACTGTTCCCGTTGAGAACGTCGTATATTATACTCCAAGGTCAGATGCAAGAAATGGCAACAAATTGCATAACGATTATTTTGAAGTCGCAGCAGCTCATTTACAAAATAATCGAAAAATGTTAAAAAAATGCCATAAAATGCGGGCCCGGTATAAACTCTCAACAGACAAACAAACTGTTTGCTCGGCTGGCCGGAAGTCGAATCATCATCGACGAAACTGACTCTGAAGCGGACCGCCTTCAAACAGAAAACGATCGTCTTATCGACGACATGTCCAAGTTGCAGGACAAGATCAACCGCCTGCGCAGCGGATATCACCTGCTGTATGAAATCATCAAACTTTCGTCCAGGTGACCCAACAAAGACGACTATTGGACCAAACGGTTCAACAGAATGCAGCACAGATCGTGCAACTCCAGTAGCAGGTCGCTGCCCTCCAGAGCCAGCTCAGGACCGAATCAACGATTCGAGCCCAACTTGTACAAAACAGCGCCATTAGGCAACAGAATTTTGTCCAATTGGAGCAGGCCTTCAGCCAAGTCAAACAGGCGATTCAGGGCAACCACGACCGGATCATCAAATTAGAGGCCAGCAATGCTGGTCTGGTCAAAGACTACCAAGTGGCCACCCACGTATTAATGAACTCAACGAGTATCTGGAAAGGCTAAACACGGAGAACGCCTGCTTAGATGCGGGAAAATCACATCTCGAGAATTCACATTTCGAGATGTCCGCAGAACCACCGACCTATCACATCTTTCCGGACTCGGATACACAACGTCGACAAGAAAAAGTCGACGAGGCCCTGCGGCAGGACCAACGGTTCTACCAGCAGCCAGTGCATCATCATCAACGTTACCACGTCAATGTGCTCCAAACGCAGCCATCAACGGGACAACCGCCGACCATACCGACGCCCTTGAGTCCAGTGGACCAGAGATCATCAACGGCGACAGTAACGCTGCCGCCAAAACCAATCCCGGTCACCATATCGGCAACTATGGGTCAATCGACCACACTGACGCCCGCCACACAGACTCAACCGTCCGTGCCAACCGGACCATTCTTTAGCCCGAGCCAGCCGACGTCTCAGAACCAGACGCCGAGCCGAGGATATTTAAGGCCACGTCCACTGTACCCAACTCTGTTCCCGAATATAAACTTTCACCTGAGCCCACATCTGGTCTCAGGTCAGGCTCCAACAAGCGGCTCGGACCCAAACCGGACCAACCCGCCAATGTTTGGGCTATCAGCCAGTGACAGCCACACAGTGACAAATAGGAGGCCAAAGTGGCACACCAACGGTGCAACGGACACTCCATAAGCCAACACAGCCTAATTGGTCCTCCTATCCTAGCGGCAGCACCAACGGGCAAGCCAACAACAGCCGGGCCAGAATGTACCTCCGGGCCAGAATGTGCCCAACTCACCCGGCGCACCGCCAACGGCGGCGAGCCACCGGACCGGCAGCTCAGCCAAACCAGGGCCAGAATGCGCCCATGCTAGTTCAGCTGCCCAATAGAACATACGGGTGGATGGCGTCCAACTGAGCCATCCAATACCAACTAAAATTGTTGTTGAACCCTCAATAGGGGCACCAGCCGGGCCCAGCGCCACAGGAACTGCAACCACCGGCACAATTAGTGGGGCAGCAGATAACGCCTGCACCGTCGCCAAGGGCCAGTTCGCCAGTGCATGACCTGGTACACATGCAGATGCTGGCCGACTCGTATGCGAAGGCTAATGCAAAGGTCAACGCCCGGACCACCCAGCCGACCTTCGACGGTGACAGGACAGCCGTGAAAGAATGGATTGCCCAGATCAGAAGGATCTGTAAGCAGTCGTCCGACTTCATCAAGCCGGACCAGACTTCATGAGCAGCATCTTCGCATCCTTTTCCAAACCGGTCAAGGAATGGTACACTGGCCAGGTCAAGCGTGAAGAAGGCGACGGCTGGACAGTCGACGAGTGGCTTCAAAAGTTTGCAGCTCGATACGACAACGTGAGCCAACAGGCCAATGCTCTTGGAGACATCTCGTACCGTACCTCCTTGGCACGGTTTCGAGACGCCAGAGCAATACTATGACGCAATCCTAACTTTCCAGGCGCGCGCCAACTTAGACGACACCATGACTCTTGATTTTCTGGAGACCAATATGACTGAGCCAGAAATGCGCCGTGTCCTGGACATCCGGCTGCCGAAGTCTCTGACAGAATTTCGGGACTATATTCGGCAGTTTATGGCAGGTAAACTCGAATACGACGGGAAGGCGGGCCAAGGATACCGGGCCATCCGGACGGCCGGACCAACGCCACCTGCCCGTCGTAGCGCAACAGCCAACATCACCGGCTTACTATCCTCCACAGATGCTAACACGAACCTAAATCCAAGTTGAAGCAACATATGCCGCTATCGCGGCTATGAACTTAGGTTCCCACGGTGGTGGTGGTGGTTATGGTCAGGCCCGGAACCAGGGCAATTCTGGCTATAGCCAGGGCAACGGTGGCGGTGGCACCGGGTAAACTGCCGGTGCCTGACAGAGTACTCACGGGAAACTGGTCCAGCGATACAAAACATGATTCACGGGGGTGAGAATTTCTTCGAATACCGCGCCGACCAACTCCTTGCCCTAGTAAAGGGCTGGCTGGAAGAAACAGGTGCACCACTAACGTGGGCGCAGATAGCCGAACAATATGGATCATTTGCCCAAGAACTAAACAATCTCCAAGAAGAGTGAGCACTATGGGAAGACGAACGTCTAGCCCTATTGTGGGACTATAGAGAATACCACATGGAAACTCCGAAAGCACTCCAACGGATGTACTCGAACCTCTTCAATGACATTATCAAACTTAAAAATAATTGGCCCAACAACCTGGCGTAACCGTCAGCATATGGCTAATGTACGACTTGGGCCTGACCAACGTCAGGACCATACCGGAACCATTGCCAGAAGCAGCACCACACATAGCAACCAGAGTGCGCTTCAGTAGCGGCCCACATCCTGAACAGGGCCGACGAAGGGACACCCGCAACGAAATGCAGGATTCTGGCATTAAAGTCCCCCATGCCGGACAGCTATGAATTCACTCCGGCATTAATGTCTCCCATTGCCGGACAACTATGAATTCACTCCGGTATTAATGTCCCCCATGCCGGATATCACTAAATTTATTCCGGCAATAATGTCTCCCATGTCGGTTAACAAGAAAAGTGGTGTACAGTAAAATCTTTCCTTAAATACACTCCTGTATAACATTCCCACTCCAAGGAACCGGATTGTCTCGTAGAGTATATCATAGGGGGATTATCTTTATAACATTCCCCTCTTTATAAGGATTACATACACTTTCCGCGGAACCGAACGCAGTCTTACCGATGTAGAAAACCTGGACATAACATTCAGCTCCGGCTCTGGGGGCTGTTGTTCTTTATCAAATACACCTCGTCATAGCATACGAAATCGGTGTAACCGTGCGTGTATTTTATAGAGAGCTTTTACTGTAGCAGTAATGTCCATCGGGAAACCATTTATTGCAGTTGTTTTTCATTGGTAACGCTATGGTACCGCTGGTGGCGGTTTTTCAAAGTTCAAGGATTGACCTAAAAATCAGCTTTCTATGGTACCCATGTCACCATTCTGGCCGAAGGGTTAGTGTTTTGGCGATGGTGGCAGGGGGGACAAATGTCCTGGGGGAGTCGGGGGACATTCTTGCCGGTCACCCATGTATTTATCTCATACGGTCCACATCTTATCAGAAATTTTATCCTCGGTATCAGCCGTAGTCAAAGTCTTTGCTGTATGCTGCTGCGGTCAGACAGCTCTAAAGGTATTTATTGAGCATGATTATTCAATTTGTTGTCAAATTTGTTAAAAATTTGTTCACGGTGATACCTACCTGACATTTATCGGGCTATTTCAGCTCTGCTCAACCACACGCGGGCAATTGCACAAAACAATTTAACCATACTTATATGCATCGTTATGTTTTCCTCTTTGCATGTTTATGGTGTAACTTGTTAAAGCGGATTCAGGAATACTCAAATCTGAATCTTTTGATGTGCCGGTAACTGCCCAAGGGGAGATTAAGGGGAAGGGGTCGTGATCATTTTTACCGTGCGTATAAATCCTGCTCTAAAACCGTCATCAGAAAACAGATTACCGAAGGCTAAAATTATTGTTAATTTTGCCGTTAATCTTAAGGCGGCAAAACGCAACCTAACTATTACCATTCCTTAGCAAAATCCAGCGCCGCTGAAGCATTCTCTTTAAGCCAACAATAATTAAAGACAACGAGGCAGCTCCCATGGAGTCCAGGTAGAGGAACCATAGACAACCCCTGCCGTCACTTTTCCAGGATCCATCACAGTGGAAACTTCCGGCGGACGATATGTCGATGCAAGCATTCAGGGCCTCTCCGACAGCAGAAGGCAGGAACAGAACACCATCTGGATGACACCCTTGCCGCAATGTAGCGAATATATTCCAGATCGTCAGCAATACAGCGAAGATGCCGGATATAAGCGATATCCACAAAAACTCCCAAAACATGGTGACTTTTCGGAAATTTCTAGAGTTTCACCTCCTCTATGAACTTTCAGCAAAAACTTAAATTTTGCAATTAAAGATTACGTTACCTAGAATGAGTTGTTTGTGTGAACACTTTTAACTCTAGCCAACACACTTTAATGCATCTTGTTTTTGGCAACCAATCAGCCGGACTGGTATGGGGCAATATAGCCGGAAGGATATCCACCCCCCGGACCGGGGCAAAATAGCCGTCTGGCTGCTCATACGGAGAACTGGGGTAAAATAGCCAATAGGTTATTAAACCCCAGACTGGGGCAAAATAGCCAACCAGCTGTTCCGCCCCCATTAAGCAGTACTGGGGCTAAATAGCCTTAGCCCTTTATAATATTACTAGTTCATACTCAAGTTGGAAGGTGTTGACATAAAAGTTTATCCCACCAAAAATAAAACATAAATTCAAAGAAAAATTAGAAAGATTACAAAACTGAAATTGACCGCATTTTCCTGTGTATCTCCCGAGCCAAAATATTTAATTTCTAGAAAACGGAAGAAACAACTCTTATTCATGGGAACATGTTGCAACCACTAAACTGACGATAAACATTTGGACCGTCTTCATCTAGCTCACTCCAAAATTCCCAGCGCGTGTCCTACCTGTTTGCAGTGCTCTGTCGTGATATCATCCGTGAAGGTGATGACATTGGGCAGCGGTTTGATGGGGACCAAGTCGACACCTGCAACACAGCACCGGGGACCTAAGACAGGGTTCTCCGCACTACAGCGTCAAGGCGTCGCTGCGCCGTTCGCCGCCAATGAGCATAAACGCAAGATTACCGACGATTATACTGGACACGGGCATGAACTGGCGGGCCACTTGCAGCCAGCCACCGGGAGCCGCGCATAAATCGATGAGAACACGGGATTTCTGCAGAAATTCATAGCTGCGATTCAGCTGGATCAGTTTGAAGGCCGCACGCGACCGATAGCCCGTCTCCTTGGCCAGATGGTAGAATTTATCCTTACGGGCTTTTCCCACTTTCGTTTTCTTACCCATTTTCGAGCGAAACTTAGATGTATACTTTTTATACAATACTTTTTCAACAGAAAACGTAAAACTAAATTGCAGGGAATTCCAAAATGCACACTGATGTTAGGCATTCAGTAATGATTGATGAATCATGAGCGGAAACACCGAAACAGGCATTTCCAGGCGACCACTAAACTGCCGCGTGTGAGAGGTTGACTTTGCGTCATACGTACTCTGCTCGTTGACACTTGACAGTTGGTTTTCACCGGAAGTAAAAATATTCTCAGATTTCGGTCACAAAATGGCAGAAATTACTGCATTTACATTAATAATGATAAAGAAAATAGTCTTCTGAATATAAACATGTGTGATCGGAATAGATGTATAACCTTCTGCAGACTGCTGTATTGTACGACTTGTACAACCTTCAATTTTGTTCTATCTCTACTTCTACATACATATCTATATCTATATATCTATACAAGGTAGCCTCGCGCATCCGCGCTCGGCACTTAAGTACTGGATAGTAGTGGCTTTGTTTTGCAGAGGTCATTACAATTATAAAGGCTGACGTTCGGACTTTCTCACGTTCTGACAATTTTACTTTTTCACGTTCTGACGCTCTGAGGTTCTGACGTTCTGACGTTCTGACTTTCTGACTTTCTGATGTTCTGGCGTTCTGACGTTCTAACGTTCTGATGTTCTGACGTACTAACGTTATGATGTTCTAACGTCCTAACGTTCTGACGTTCTGACGTTCTGACGTTCTGACGTTCTGACGTTCTGACGTTCTGACGGTCTGACGGTCTGACGGTCTGACGGTCTGACGGTCTGACGGTCTGACGGTCTGACGGTCTGACGGTCTGACGGTCTGACGGTCTGACGGTCTGACGGTCTGACGGTCTGACGGTCTGACGGTCTGACGGTCTGACGGTCTGACGGTCTGACGGTCTGACGGTCTGACGGTCTGACGGTCTGACGGTCTGACGGTCTGACGTTCTGACGTTCTAACGTCCTAACGTTTGACGTTCTAACGTTCTGACGTTATGATGTTCTGACGTTCTAACGTTTGACGTTCTAAAGTTTTAACGTTCTAACGTTTTGAATTTCTGACGTTTCGACGCTCTGAAATACATATGAACTTTTACATGACGTAATATACATATTTTACCTAAAGAGCAAGTATTTTTGTGCATCTGCTATAATCTCCGTGGTTACAGTCATTATGTTAATCGTAAGTACTTTTTATTGCTGTGCAGTGAATACTTCTTCGAGTACTCTTTACGTTCCTATACTTAAGACCTGGTGAAACCATCTTCTGACCATTGGTTAATAAAAAAAAACAAAAATCTATTGGCACACCTATGGAAAATATGGAATTTTTTAAGACCAAGCTGGACTTAAACTGACCACGCGTTGACGAGCCTATTAAAACGGCGCATAAATACGCTTTGGTCGGTAAGCTTGTATGAATATATAAAGATATTATTGTTTTTATTATTCAACTGAGTCTTTAATATTGGTTTGGAGTTTCTTATGCGCGATTCCACATTCCGAGATGGTTAATTTTTCCAAATGGCGGCTCGGAAATGCTGTGTATCTGTATGTGCACGCGCAGATAAAATTAACTACTGTATTCGATTGGCTTGGCGTTGATTTAATCAGCTTGATAAATGTTATAGAGATATACAGATACAGTACCTAGAGGTTGAAACACAACTGGAAAAAAAAATGTCTAGGGGCCCCAAAAATCATTTATATGCTGCGCTGTTGCAATGCATGGAAACAACCGCAACAACTCTATCAACTGGATGAAGCAGTGCGGATGTGTTTTCAGTCCCTGTGCAATGTACGCACGTCGCACGACGACTATCCGTGCTGGCGGCAGGCGAAACTACCAGTGAGCAGAGGCGGTATTGGCATACGCCGGGCGGAAGAATTAGCTCTCCCTGCCTTTTTGGCATCGATTCACTCCGTATCCGGCTTAATATCACTATTGCTTCCTGATCACCCTACTGTAAATGTTTCGGCCGCTTCTGAGTTGTGGAAAGTCAACGCGCGACTGGCAGAACTCCCGGAGAAAAATGTCAGAAAGGTACAACGAGCATGGGACCTTCCGCTATGTAACACATCACTATCCACACTGTTGGACATCTTTCGCGATGATGAAGTCAACCGGGCCCGGCTCCTCGCACAGTCGACACCGGAAGCCGGCATATGGTTAAATGCCTTGCCCTCGGCACACATCGGCAACCTCCTGGACGATGACACCGTGAAGATATCAGTCGGCCTGAGACTAGGGGTGAATATCTGTGAAGCGCACTTATGTTCTAAGTGCCACAAGCCCGTCGATGTGTATGGCCACCACGGATTGTCCTGTGCTTTCTCAGCCGGAAGACATCCACGCCACGGCGGCTTGAATAGTATTTTGTGCAGATCGTTAGTATCAGCCGGCATCCCTGCAAAATTGGAACCGCGAGGTACATCCCACACATCGGACCGTCGCCCAGATGGCTGCACCACGTTTGCGTGGCAACGCGGTATGTGTTTGGCGTGGGACGTGACCTGCGTGGATACTGTTGCTATGTCTCACCGGAAAGCCACATCAGTCACTGCGGGATCCGCCGCCGCGCAGGCGGAGGATAGAAAGGCGGGACTGTACTTGTACCTACAGGGCAGATACATCTTCGTACCGCTGGCTTTTGAAACTCTTGGACCATGGGGAAAATCAGCTAGCCGTTTAGTGAAGGAAATTGGCAAGCGACTTCAACAGCATACGGGTGAGCCTCGCTCCCATGAGTACCTCCGTCAACGTCTGTCGCTGGAAATTCAGCGAGGCAACGCTGCTTCCGTTCTCGGTACAATGGAAGGAGCGGCAGCATTAAATGAAATTTTGTTATTTTGATTTACTGTTTCAAAACTGTGATGTTACCGCATTTTGTGAAATAAAAAATCATAACTGGAAAAAGCGCTCGAAATGCTCAGACTGAAATGTGTTTGTTAATCGAAGGACAGTAAGTATAAAGTGCACGAATTACAAAGGACAGATTCTGAGCGCGATTAATGCCTGTTAAGCGTGCGTTTATGCAATAACCTCGACGCTGCGGGCTGGCCTGCAGTCATTATGGAGATATTTCTTAATAATCGCAAGCTGCTTAATGAAGTACACGGCAACACTTCCGGTCACTTGACTGGCTGCGCTTCAACGAGCTGCAGCTTTGTTGTGCATCATCATTAGTTCTTCGTTCCGACAAAAAGACAGAAAGATGCCTTGCTGCTTTTACGCAACATGATGTGTGATGGATGACCGTTCCTATTGAAAAGGAATTTACGATGAAAAGGCCGCAAAATAGGGTGGGATCTTTACGCTGTTTTGTGGCTCGTTCTTCGTACAGCTATCTTTTTCAACGTTACCATAGCTGTCCGACAGCCAGCCGCCGGAGAGTGCTGCCACAATTCATGGCGCGCATCCGACCGCCCCTGGTACGCCGGTTACCATGTCCGCTGCATCGTGGGGAGTAGAGGTTAAGTGGCGTGGCGGGGCCCGCCGAAGGATGGAGTTGTGGCGTAACCCGTGAATTTGTAATTGTCGTTCTATTAATAGCTTGTATGTACATGGCTCATAATTATGAGCATTTGAATATGCACCATAACGAATGGATAAACAGCCGCTTATACATCACAGTAAAATAAATTTTGAATTTTTGTTGTGTCACAGGATCACTATCGTACTGTAGCCGCTAGATGAAGTGAGACCACTGTTAGATCCGGGCGCTGCCTTCCACTCGTCAGGCATTGAGCACGAGCCTTCCTCCCACCGGGCGGCGCACACTTTGCATTGCCTTTAGTATTGTGCTGCCCCTGCCAGGGGCACCCCAGAAACCACAACAAATCAGATTTATAAATTGGAAACTATCAGAGCTCTGTTATTGTGCTCTTAAAACAAATATCTTTCGTTGCGAAGAATTAAAAAATAGCAAAGAACAGTAAATCATGTCAAATGTTGGTAGCAGCAGAGGGAAATCAAACACATTTTTGCATGCAGAACAGTATGTATATTGGGCTTGCATTTTTCCGTACACCAGACTCTGTGGTCTCACTTTATCTAGCCGCTACAGTAGTCAGTCGTGGCGTGGATGTGGTGATGACTGATAAGCACAACCACGGTTTTGTACGCGTACATAATAACTTATACCGCCGTATTTTTGCAGTATATATAAATTTTCTTTTGAAATTTTAATGTTTTTATTCTTGATATTCAGTCATATCCGTGCTAAGCAATGATTCGTGATCGCTTTTAATTTACACAACATGCAGTTCAGTAGCCGGTACCGGTCAACCACAAACGGATGTGAGAGTTCGTGTTGAGAAGGAATTAAACTGGTTTTTACGATTTGCGTTCCACATACGTTGAAATGTAACTCTAATATGTGGATCGTTTTTTGTAAGCTCTTTTTCTCGAAACACAACGCACTAGAACTCCGGGTACGAGCCCGGAACTATCCAGTATCGCGGTACACTTCACACTCATATCAAAGTGATTAATATTAAAAGTGGCGGAACAAAATCGAATTTACCGTAAAGCAAGCGTAATCGAGTTCTTGATAGGGGGTCGGGGACGGATAGGAGCTGCAGCATACAGAGCATGTGTACTAATTTCTACCGATATACTCTCTCTATGTTGAAGCATCGGGTGAAATCAGAGCGCTCCCCGACCACCAAGTAGGAAACCCGTTACGCTTGATTTTCAGTGAATTCGATTTTCCCTCGACACTTTAAATATTATTCACTTGGCTCATATTAATGCAGTGTAGCCAGAAAACAATTTAATTAGAAGCCGTTAGTAAACTTAGATAAAAATTTACTTTGTTACTTTATCCAGTTAACTGGCACATTCACTGAGCCGGCGAGTGCCGTGTGGCCCCCGCCGGCGGCAGTCAGATGGGCATATTACGTACGCTTCCGGCGGAAGTGCAGAATAATTAATTCTGTACGAACTGTGCACGGTATTTTATCGACCGATAAACGCACTGCGGACATGGAGATGCTTCCGATGGGCGTTATTATCTGCACACGCTTCCGGCAAATAATCACAAAGGTC